CGCCGAAAGTACATTCAGAGCCTTTGGTTACAACTTATTGCACACTGCTGATATTCAGTAGAAATATATTGTACCTCTTAATACTTATTCCTCTGTACATTCATAGACTGTGCAGCCTGTGGGAATGGAGCAGGGATCTCTTTACCTAAAAGCTTCACAGAGAGGGGGTGAACCAGAGCACCCTGGGACAGTCCCTGCTGTAGGCATCGCTTTCCCTAAAAGCTTCACAGAGATGGGGGGGAACCAGAGCACCCTGGGACAGTCCCTGCTGTGCCATCAGAAGCCCAGACAGGTGGCTGGATCCAAGGGGATGACAGGGACCAAGAGAAGACCTTGCTCCCTTCCCTGCCCTTGCAGGGACTAGACATATTTCTAAGCAAACTCATTTGTAATCCCTGAATCTGATAGCCCAAAAAGAAGTGACATAACAAGGACTAAAATATTCTAGGATTCATTATAGGGTTGCACGAGGGAATCATCTTGGTTAAGTGCAAATGACTATAAAACTAGCAAAGTGCAAAAGAGATTACAGCTTGAATTTCTCAAGGAGTATTTGGGGTAACAGTTAAGGACACAAAAAAATTAGGTGCTAGAGAAAATGTTACTTTCCCTTTCAGTTGATATTCCATGCATTAAGTTTTAGATTGTTGTTAGAAGCAAATTAAAAACAAATAAAAATTAGTACCTCCCCTAAACTAGAAGCACCAGTTAGGAGAGGCTAAATGTGGTGATTGGTCTTGAGTATCCTTGAGCTTGAAAATTTTTACGACCTTAAGAACTTGTGCTTTAAATGGAGATTAGCAGGAACATTAAAGAAACCTAAGCCTCCCTGAAACTGCAGAGTCCCTGGGTAACCTCTGTTCTGAAACTGGAACAAGGACAAATCCACACTGAGGGAAAAGGCCACTAAAACAAGGGGGTTTGGGTCTTTTTTTTTAAGTTTACAAACATCTTAAAGCCCAGTAGAACACCAGCCCCTCGGCTCTGTTATGTTTAACTCTACTTTGATAAAACCTACTTCGCCTTTGAACAACAACAACAAAAAGAAAACCAGTGCAAAACTCTTGAGCTAAGTGAAAAGAGCTGGCAATCAGACTGTACCACCTCAAGCCATAAGATATGAGCAGAAGCAGATTCCAGGTATTCCCAGGGCTGAGCCATGAGCTGCAGGAGGAGCAGCACAGGGCACAGCTGTGCAGAGCAGCCCCCCCGCACCCCTCCTGCCAGCACCTCCAAACGCCAGATCCTCCCACGGCTCTGGAGACTCCAGGAGCCCACAGCCCCCTCACCAGGCCGGACTGACCAAAGGGACAGCTGATGCTTACAACTAACCCGAAGCCCCAGGCGGTGGTTGTGCTGGTGCCCAGGGCGAGGTGACAGCAGGGGAAGTGAGGGGACAGGAGCCCAGCGTCCTGACCCAACCTGCACCTACCGACCGGGGTCACCGCCCTCTCACCCGGGAAACCCTCCTGGAAATGTCCCCCAGCTCTGCCCTGAAAGCAGGTCACCAAAAAGCTTCAATTTTTTTAGTTTCACAGCATGCCCTCAGTCTGGCACAGCTCCTCACCAGAGGAGCTTCTGCCCAGGCACCAAGTTCCTCCACCCCTCCAGCTCACGGGGAAAGAAGCCCCAGGAGCAGCTACCAGACAGACTGCAAGGGCATAAGGACTTTCAAAGGATAATACAGATTAAAAGTCCGTTGAAAATGAAAGAAAAATTCCTAGAGAGCATCCTGATCACTCTCCCCGTGAAGAACGCCTCCAGTTTTGGGAGAAAGAAAAAGCAGTAGGAGTTTTAAAAGTGGCACAAGAGAAGCTAACGATCCCTTGGTCACTTTGCATTTTGTATGGCAACTGCTGAGCTTTCAGTACCGAGCCCTAACGCACCAGGGCTGCTGCAGGCACCTCTTGCTCGGGGACTGAGGGGGTTCTCTCCCTTGCACAGCTTAACTACTTTGGCAGAAACAGGCCTAAACCAGCACACTAATTAAACCTACTTCTACTCCACTACCACTGATTTCAGACACCTTATTCTGCAAATTCACTGCAAGTCGATTTCAGTGGATAAAATATTTCCTTTTCCCACTTAAAAAAAAATAAAAATAAATCTTTGATTGTTCCTTTTTAACATAAGGATTATTTTTTTTTCAAGTTCTGTTCTACAAGAACAAATCCTGGATCTCACATTTGCAAATCTTTTGATACTCAAGATAAGCATCACCCTTCGGATGGGGCAGTTGCAGCAATTACCCCTCAGGGAGCTCAGGAAGTGCCCGGCTGCCCAGCTCCCCGGCAGAGCTTGTGCAGTTGAAGCCCAGGACAATTAACCCTGTAAGGTGACCGACTGCAACCCAGCAAGCAAGCTGGGGCACAGCTACTAGCGATCCAGTAGAAACATTCTCCACCACTCAGCTGAGAGACCCCGGCCAGGCTCGCACACTGTAACACACGCGGGAGTTGTGCAAACCGGGGCGTTGCATTAGGGCCCAATTACGGGGCAATTAACACCCACGGAGAGCCCGCAGTGCGGTGAGTGTGTGTCAGGGTGGAACACGGGGTACTGGGAGAACTGAGGGTCCCGAGCCGTCAAAGTGTAAGCTGTCCTTCCACCTGAGCAAAGCTACTCTGGAGACACCTCAGGGCTTCACTTCCACGCACTCCCTGGATTCACAGACACGTAAAGAACCAGATTGTTACCGAGGGTGCAATGTGGGTTATTCAAGACACCAGAACATTCAATGTGTGGGCCGCGGGGCAGAAGGGTTTTGGGAACACACCCCTCTTCTTATGGCCTGCGGGGCTGGAGACACGAGCAGCGGTGTTAACCCTTCCCGCCAACCCGCTGCCGTGACAAACCCACGGGGAACCTCTGCGCAGGGACATCACGCCCCGAACTCACATCGCATCGGGTCCCGGGGCCAGGGGTGGGTTTGAAGCAGGAATTTGCAGTGCCAGGGTCTCGGGTGGGCACAGGAGGCCCCACAGTCACTGCTCACCTCGCTGCCTGTGCCCCCCAGCACTGCGAGCAGAGCCCAGCCCCCCTGCCGGGCTCCAGTGCTTTCCCAGGGCTGCTTTTGGTGAAGCTTCCCCCTGAAACGTCAAAAGGCACTCAAAAAAAATATGTTACCAGTGACAGGTTGGCAAGATGCTGTTTAAAAGATACACTTTCTCAGTTTAGGTAGGAACTCTCCCCCTTCCATCCCTAGCTACCTGCTGGAAAAGTATTGCCTCTATTACTTTCCTACTAACTGGTAAAAAAATAAATTAAATGTCCCTTGATCGATGTGTTCAACGAACAGAGTAAAAAATAATCTCTAAATCCTAACTATAATGTTGTGTGTGAAATCAAGACAGCAAAAGGAAAAGCCAACGGGAAACCGACTGATGCTCTTGTTCCCAATGCACCCGCTGGGGGAACCTCCATCTTTCTATTTGCCCCTTTTCAGCTTCCTGCATTTCAAAACCAATAACAAAATATGTAAAAAGCTGTCTTCAATTTGGTGTCTGCTCGGTTGGAGGACAAAGCACCTGGTGCAAACAGGCTTCAACCAGTCCCAGCTCCTCCCTGCAGGTCCGGGGGTCTGGCTCGGATCAAAAGCACAAGGCGTTGTCGGTCTGTCCCGGTGTTTCCCGCTCCTCTCCGCGATCAGCCCGGTGCGGAATTTGCTTCAGAACCCCGAAGCAAAGACACGGCCTTGCTGGCCACGCCGGGCGGGTCCCGCAGCCCGGCCCAGAGCCGCGGAGCCGGGGGAGGCTTGGGACACAACACATTTCAGGAAAAAAACCAACACAAGCCAACCTTGCCTGAGGAAAAATATTTGCAAGTTCTCCAGAGACAAAATCACCCTCATCAGTCACTCGTGGAGGAACCCAAGGCTTTGTGCCTTGCATTGCTCTGGGTCTGCTCCTGCCCCTTGGCTCTCCCAGCCCCATCAAAGCTGTTTCCCCTGGGAACAAGGCTCCTGCTCCCCCAGAGGAGGGTTGCACCCCACAGAACTGGAGCCCCCCCAAAACCCAAGCTCCCTGCAGCCCTAAGCATCCAAAGGCACATCCTGATCCTGTGCAACCCACACGTGCCCATGCTGCCTTCCCAGAGCCACCATTCCCAGCTGGAGGGAAACAGCCTCATGTTTGGCACAGGGCAAGTGCCACCACTGCAGGAAAACCAGGTGTAATACAACAAGGTCCATCTCCACACAGTGAGAAATGTTCCTGGCAGCATCTAACCCCCAGACCTTAACTTCTGCTGCAGGGGTTTGCACAGAGCAGACAGGGACCTTAAATTAACAAACACACAGAAAGCCAAACCTACCACCACAAACAAATAAATAGCCTCATTTTGTAATGTTTGTTTGTGGGGTTTTTTTACCAAGGTAAAGGAGGTGGCCTGGAGTGTTGCATTCAGGTTTGGTCCCTGCTCTACAAAAAGGATGGGACAGGCTGGAGAGGGTCCAGAGAAGGGCCACAAAGATGATTTGGGGGGACCTGCCAGATGAGGAGAGGCTGAGACAACTGGGCTTGTTCAGCCATGAGAAGAGAAGGCTTTGGGGAGATCTTATTAACCACGTTCCAGTCCTTAAAGGGTGGGTGCCAGGAAGATGCAGACTGCCTTTTTGCAAGGAGTCACATGGGAATGGCAGGGGGTCATGGGCACAAGTTGCTCCTGGGGAGATTTCAGAAGAAAATTTTTCACCTTGAGAACAGTTAGATATTGGAACAATCTTCCCAGGGAAGTGCTGGATTGCCCTACCTTGGGCAGTTTTAAGACTCAGCTTGACAGGATGCAAAGCCATCTCATTCAAACTGTATTGTTACTGAGAAAGGTTGGATCAGATGATCCTTGATGTCCCTTCCAACCTGGCATTCTATCATTCTTTTATATGACCCAAAACACATCTGAACTCCAGCTGGGCTGGACATCCAGCTCCTCCTGTCCTGCTGAAAAATTCTGTCTTCATTTAAATGTGCTTTGTAATAAAATGAAAACTGCTTTTACCTCACAGCTTTGCCACTGGTTCGGAATGTTTGGCCTGAGTTTCTGCTCACAAACCACCCTTCTCATATCTTCTATGGAAGGATCAGAAGGCACCACGTCATAGTAAGGCAGCTGGTACTCCTCCGTGATTCCTAGGAAAGATTTATTCTGCAGGTAACACAAAATCCACAGTGGCTGCTCCAGAATCAGCTCGGACTGATTGTTGTTACAGGCAACGAGAGAGAGCAGAGGAGCACTAGGGCCACCTCGAGCAACTGCTCCACGACAGGCTCCTACAGCCTCCTGCTGCCAAGGTAACTAAGAGGGCAGGGACGTAGGTCTTTTAACTCATTGGGTTTTGCCGCAGATAAAGATGCTCTGGATGGCAAAATGAAAAGGCCAGGAGCCTCACCTCCAACGGAGCACCTCCGGGCGATCTCCCAGTACACCAGCCCCAGGGAGTAGATGTCTGCACGCTTGAAGGACTCGAAGATGTTTGTGTTCATCACGTCGTCCAGGATCTCAGGAGCCATATACCTTGAAAGTAGAGAGGTGGGTTTGTCAGAGGAAGATGGCAGCTGGGGTCTGCTGCCCCTGCTGGAGGGACACCAGCAGCAGAGGGGAGTCATGGAGGGGGTCAGCAGCCCCCTCGCCCACCTGCGGGTGCCCACCCTGGGGTTCTGGGGGATGTCGATGGTGTTGAGCAGCGAGTCGTGCTTCACCGCCAGCCCCAGGTCGGCGATGGCGCAGCTCTCGTTCCTCTTCACCAGGATGTTCTTGGACTTCAGGTCCCGGTGCGCGATCGCCGGCTTCCCTGGCCACGGCAAGAAAGGGCTGTCACTGCTGATGGCAGGGGGTGAGTGCTGACAGAACCAGCAGGGAAGCAACACCAGTTTCATGCAACGGTGTTACTACATCCTGAGGAGCTAACCCTGCTCGCACTAAGGGGAGCTCTGCTACGTGCCAGCACATTAAAGAAAGACACCTCGAGGGCATTTTTGTTCCAGAATCTGTATTCCAAGAATAAAACAATAGAAGAGAAATGTAAGTTCACCCTCTGAATTCCTGTAGAGAACCCTTCATTAGCACCACACAACCCCCCCCCCCCCCCCACCAGGTCTTGAGGTGGAAGGAGGCACAGGGAGTGAAGGCAGGCAGGTGTCATTCCCATTCCCTGTTCAGCACCACAGGCGCTCAGGCCAGCAGAGCTTCCGCAGCAGAACAGCTTGTGAAACGCTTCACGACACCCACCTCACCCATAAACGGTTTTGCCGACATCCCAGGAAGCTCCTGGCAGTCCAGGAAGGACCAGTGGGAGAGAAGCACTCACCCTGCGTGCCCACGATCTCCATGTGGAGGTGGGCCAGGCCGCTGGCCACCGACAGCGCCAGCCTGACCATGCCCTCCACTGTCACTGTCCCTCTGTTCAGGTAGTCAAACAGGGACCCTTGCTCGTGGTACTCGGAGACAAGCCAGAGCTGAGTCCACGTCCCATTATCTGCCCGGAGGAATAAGATTATTCAGATGCACAGGAAAACAAACCTCCTTAGGAAAAGTCTCCCCCGTGTCAGGGGCTGCTCCTGCACACAGGGGACTGGGTCTGCTGGAGCCCAGCACAGGTGCCAGGCAACAGGGGGTGCTCCAGGTGGGAGCACAAGCAATTATGGGACCAAGAGGGGCATTCCAGGCAGGAGTGGCAGCCTACCCTTGTTATCAGCAGCGATGAAGCCCAGGATGTTCTCGTGCCTCAGCATCACCGTCTGATAAATCTCTGCCTCCCGGAACCAGGACCGCTCGTCTCTGGAGGAGAAGATTTTCACAGCCACATCCTCCCCGCACCATTTTCCACGCCAGACTTCCCCAAATCGGCCTTTCCCCACGATTTCCTGCAGGACAATAGTCCTGGCAATTGTTCTTTGTACCAGCAGAGGCAAACCTGGTTGAAAGAGAAGTGAGGACTCCTTGGGAGGCTGGTGAGCAGTGACCACCAGAGCCCGGCAGCTCCCCCAGCCCCACAGCA